ACTCTTCTTCCTCACAACGCCCTCCACCCTCTTCATTCTGTTGTTATGGCTCGCCGCTCTTCGGGATGGTTGCTCTACCTCTTCCCTTTCACCTCTGCGCCGTCCCCTTCCACTTCCACCTCTCTTTGCTGTCCCTTCGACGAAGCAGTCGTCGTCCCCCCTTTCTCCTTCCGTTCTTCCCTCTTCGCCCGTCCTCCCCGTCCGCTGTCCGACGTCTTCTCTTTCGTCGGCATCTGTGTTGTGCACATTTCGCGCCGTCCCTTCCTCACGAGCGGGGTTCATGCCTTTTTATCTTTCTTACTCCTACTCCTTCGGCGTCTCCTCCCTTCCTCTCCTCCGTCCCCTTCCCCTGCTTCGTCGTCTCCTCTCCTTCGTCTCCTTCCTCTTTGTTCGTGTCGTCCTTCTCCCCTCCCCTTCCACGCCTTCCTCTACCCCCGCTCCCTCCGTCGTCGTCCTCTGCTCGGTCGTCGTCGTCCTCTCCTCCTTCCTCTTCGCCTTCCCTTCTCTTCCGAGGGCTTGCTTGTAGGAGATTGTCACCTCCAGTTCTTCGTCTGGGTCCTTCTCTTCGCCTTCACTTTCCCTTCCCGTCTTCTCTTCCTCGCGAGCGGAGGGTCGTACTCTTCACCTTCCTTTGCTCCTTTGTTGTCTGCTTCTCTCCGAATTAGTTTTTCTCTCGCTCTGTTCCCTTTCTGTACTTCGTATTCGTCTTCCCCTCCTCTGCATCGCCCTGCTTCTCTATCCCGTCACTGCCCCACCCCTCCTGCTTCTCTACCATCCCTCGTCTCCCCATCGTCCGAGGCTTACTGACCCCGTCCCCAGGAAACTCGACCGCCAGCACGGCGAGCTGCACGCGGACCGCGAGGCGGCCAAGAAGGCGCTGCGCACCGCGCTCGGCAAGGTCGAGCAGAAGACGCAGGCGGCGGAGAGGCTCGTGAGTCCCGTTTCTTTCTACCCTTCCCTGCGCCTGCGCCTACCACTGTGTCGCCTGCTACACCCGCTCACACCCGTTTCTTCCCCAGGAAGGCGACGTCGAGGACCTGCAGACGAAGCTCACAGGGCTCAAGAAGGCAGAGAAGAGCCGGCAGCATACGATCAAGACCACGGAGGCGGCGATCGCGGGGATGAAGGAGGAGATCGAGAAGGAGGTGGGTTTCGCTTCTCCCTTGAGTTGTCGCGAGGACGGTCGGATAGGGCTGTCGCAGGGACGGGGTCGTCGCTAACGCGTCTCTCTCGCCGGGCGCTGACCCCCTCTCTTCGCCCCGTCGCTGACGCCCCTTCGTTTCCTCCCTCCCCGTCTACCACCCTTCCGTCGCTAACTTTCTCCCTCTCTAGGTCAAGCTCGAGTCCATCGACGACGTCAAAGCCGAGGGCAACCGCCTCAAGGCCGAGTGGACCTCGTCGTCGTTCGAGATGGACAAGCGCGCGCACGGCGAGCGGAGCAACGTGGTGGGGCAGCGGAAGAGGATGAATGAGAGGAATAGGGGAGAAGGAGAGAGGGAGTGAGTCTTCGTTTCGCGTTCTTTCTTTGTCCTTCCTTCTTCGCTGCCGTAGCTGGCGCATCCTTCCGCGTTCTCTTCAGTGTGTGAGAGTATAAGTTAAGCTAACGTGCGTCCTACAGACTCAAGTCGCTCGACAACGTGGACGCGGTGAAGCTGAACAACCTTGGGCGGTGGGACCGCGACGTGGGCGATGCGGTGCGCTGGCTGCGCGCGAACAAGGACAAGTTCCGCATGGAGGTGTTCGAGCCGCCCGCCCTTTCCGTGACGGTGCCCAACGGGAGCTTCGCCGCTGGGGTGGAGAGCTGCTTTGGTGGGGCGCAGATGAAGGTGCGCGACGTTTTGTTTTGTTTCTTCCTTTCATTTCCGTCCCTTGCTTTGCCCCCTTCCCCTCCCTCCCTGTCCTTGCCCCTCCCCTCCTCCCGCCGCCTTACCCCCTCTTAGTCGAAAGAACGCTTTGCTGACGAGAGTGGGTGCAGATGTTCGTGTGCCAGTGCAAGGAGGACTACGAGACGCTCAACGGCGCGATTAACGACGCCCCCGGGCTCGGGCGCCGCGCGCACATACCCGTATGGTTCCGCCCCGGGACGGAGGCGGATCTCACGCCGCCGCCGCTGTCGGCGGAGGAGCTAGCAAGGTACAACTTCGACGGGTACGCGATCGACTATGTGCAGTGCGCGCCGGGGCTGCGGTGGTTCCTTCAGCGCGAGCTGAATATGCATCGCACGGTGAGTCTGCCCTCTCTTCTGTCACCCCTCCCCGTTTCGTTCCTAAGCGAGCGGGGGAGGGGATGACGGTCGTGCGCGACTGACGCTTCCGTTTGCGTTGTGATGTAGGCGATCTCGCGGAAGGGCGTGCAGAACCTTTCTGGCGCGATCGAAGCCGTGGCGCGCCCGGGTCCCGGCGGGCGCACAGCGAACACGAACTTCGTCGACAATCAGACAGTGCACCAGGTGTCGCGCTCCAAGTACGGACAGCGCAACATCGGGTCGTCCGCGAATCAGCTTGGGCAGGCGCGCAACTTTGGTGGGAATGCGCAGGGTACGTCTCCGTTATGCTACCATTGAAGGAGCCATGCTTACGCGCAAGGCAGTTAACCCGGCGGACAAACAGCGCATCGACGATATCTTAAAGCGGTGCAAGCAGGAGGAGGCGGAGATCCAGTCGGAGGAGGAGGAGCTCCACGCGGAGGAGAAGCGCCTGAAGCAGTTAGAGAAAGAGTATGACAGTAAGATGGTGCGTCTTTTCGTTTTGTGTAGCTGCGTGTAGAGAGGCCGGCTAACGCGCCTGGCTGTTTGCAGAACGCGATCAAGAAGCGCTTCAGGGTCATCAAGGACGAGGAGGAGCGCAAGGCGAAGCTCGTCATCAAGCTGAGTGCGTCGCGCGTCTTATTCCAGGTCTGTCGGAACAGTGGCTGATGTGTGCTGCTTGGTGGTGCGTAGAGGCCGCGGAGAAGACGCTCGCCGCGGCGCTGAAGAAAGGCGACGCGGTGCAGGAGGGCGCAAAGATCCGCGCGAAGATCATGGAGGTTTCGAAGAAGCGCATTGCGCTCGTCGCTGAGGCCGTCGTGCGTCCTTTCCCTCCTAGTCCGGTCTCGAGTGTAGTGCTGAGTGATGTGAACGGCCCGCAGGACCTGTCGCATGACGTGATCAACGAGCAGATCCGTGCGACGCAGCTGGGGCTGCAGTACCTCCAGGTCGGCGCCAAGAAGACGGCGCTCAAGGAGCTGTGCGAACGCAAGGACGCCAAGTACCAGACCGCGCTCGCGGAGTTCAATAAGAGTACGTGCTCGCCCTGTGGTGCCCAGCGCGCGCTGATGCTGAGGCGTGTCGCAGTCGACACCGAGTTCGAGAAGCTCAAGGAGACGACGAAGACGCTGCTGGCGGAGAGCAAGGAGCTACTGAGCGAGCTGTCGGACGAGATGCGCGATGAGTACCAGCAGACAGAGTCGGCCCGGCTCGCGTACGAGAAGGCCGTCGCGCAGGCGGAGAAGGACGGCGCGCCCCAGCCCGCGCCCGGAGAGGACGTCGACCTGCGCTCGATGGAGGAGCTAAGGACGGAGCTCGAGAAGCAGGAGGCGAACCTCGAGATGAATATGAACACGAACCCGGGCGTCGTGGAGCAGTATGAGAAGCGCAAGCGCGATGTGCGTCGTGTCCTATCTTTTTTGGCGGGGTAGGTTTGCTGACGGGGATGATGGAGCGTAGATCGAGGTACTCGAGAAGACGATCGAGGGCCGGCAGCGCCAGGCGGACAAGATTGAGAAGAATATCAAGAATGCGAGGGTGCGTGGCGGCGTTTCGCTCCAGCTTCATCGTGCTCATTCCTTTCTTCACAGGACAACTGGGAGCCTGCACTGCAGTCCCTCGTTACCAGCATCGGCAAAAAGTTCTCTGCCGCTTTCGACCGTGCGTCAGTTCCTGTTCTATGCTTGATCGTCAACTCATGCGCATATCGCTAGGCATCGGGTGCGCGGGCGAGATCCGCGTGCGGCAAGAGGAGGCGTATGACCAGTGGGCCATCGACATCCTCGTCAAGTTCCGTGACACGGAGAAGCTGCAGCTGCTCACGAGCCAGCGGCAGTCCGGCGGAGTGAGGCTCTTCTTTCTTGCGCGGTGGCGACGGGTGGCTGACTGTACTTGCAGGAACGCTCCCTCACGACGATCCTGTACTTGATGAGTCTGACCGAGGAGGCGCGCGCGCCATTCTCCCTCGTCGACGAGATAAATCAGGTACGTTTGCCCTCGACGCTTCAGTACTCGGTGGCTTCGGCTTAGCTCCCCGCAGGGTATGGACCAGCGCGCGGAGCGCATGGTGCACAACTCGATGGTGGAGGTGACGTGCAAGGCCGACAGCGCGCAGTACTTCCTCATCACGCCCAAGCTCCTGCCCGACCTCGAGTACCATGAGCGCATGAAGATCCTCTGCGTCAACAACGGCGAGTGGCTCCCCGAGGAGTCAGGCCTCGGGAACATGATGAACATGATCGATGGGTTCGTCGCAAAGCAGAAGGAGCGCGCTTGAGGCGGCCGGCCAGCCACCTTCAAGTTCTTGACTAGATACCAAATTTTTCTAATCGTACATACGCTGGCTGCATTTCGTTAGGCCTTATTTTTATCTTACGTTGTTCTGTAGTTCCTTGTAGCAACTTAAGCTTATCTTTTGTACTCCTTGACGCGTTGTTGACCTGTGTTTACAGTCGTCGCTCAAGTAATTCCTGTCACGTGTGGCGATCTCTACCCTGACGACGCCTATATGGGGCGGCGAGTTAACGCTTTGACCGATCCATCTGAATGTGCAATCGTCCCAGATGTAGCTCCAATTGTCCCCCAAACTGTTAATGCCAGGGTGCGAAGCACTTCGAAGACTGATTTCCAAGTCCTGCCCACTGCCCATTTTACGAGGAAGGAAATCTTTGGAAAATCGACAGAAAAAAAAATAGTGTGTGAAGCTTGGGAAGCCTGAAGTTTCTTTGCTTACGCTCACTTCGTATGACTACGCTGGAACCACCACAGGGGATCGAACCCTGACTTTCCACCGCTGACATAATGTAGGTTTGGGTAGGTGATCTAACCACTGTTCCATAGTGGCCACAAAATAGCGTGGATTCTGGCACGAGTCTTGGTGAAGCAGAGGAAACAATATGAAAATAACCTCTTGGACACTAACTTCCGAGTTTTGAAGGCTGTTGTGGCCATGTTGAATGAGAGAGTAGTGAGAATTCAATTCAAGAAGGTCTCCAACAATCCTGCTAAGCTTATATCGCAAGGAATAACACTTCCAGTTGAGATAGACACTGATGTTGACTTGATGTTTGAAAACCCGGGAATGTTGTTGTCCCTGGACTCCCAAAGACTGTGCACAAATATTCTACGCTCTCTCCGGGTGAAACCATTCCAAAAATTCACTTTCGTAAACCTAGATCGTATACACTGCGCTGTGGATGAGATATGCGGCTATACACCATCTGATTCCATGATTTGGAAGTCAATACGATCGACCACTCTCCAACGACGCACACGGGAATTTTACTGGAAATGCATTCATAACACCTTCAGAGTGGGAAGCTTCTGGTCTCATGTTGAACATCTTGAATGGAATGGGACTTGCCAGGTGTGCGACGCAACAGACAGCTTAGAGCACATTGCACTGGAGTGCAACTCCCCGGAACAGAGGTTGATATGGGGCCTCTCAAGGCAGCTATGGTCAAAAAAAATATGATGATTGGCCAACCCTGAACTGGGGATTGATCATGGGCTGCAACCTGGTGAAATTTAGGTCTCCACGGGGTCGTGTGATACCCGAAAAAGGGACTGTTTGCAATTTTAGTATCCGTGGGTTGGCATCTCATTTGGAACCTGCGTGTAAATCGTGTCATGAAAAATCAAGGTTCGGTCCAGAGTGCAGCAAGTATTCACAATCAACGGCTTAATGCTGTTAACTCGGCCTTACGACGCGACCGTATTCTCACGAACAAAGTTAAATTCGGCCCACTCGCTCTGAAGAAAGAAATGGTGCTAAACACCTGGAGTGGTCTGCTTATGGATGAGGATGCTCTGCAGGATGATTGGACGCTCACAGAGGGGGTTTTAGTGGGTATGTGGCCAATAAATGGTATAGGATGATTTTCTCAAAGGCCAGAGTCCCACGCTGGTTAAAAATCGTGCGTAACGGCATTTCCTCCTGGACAAAATTCACCGGCATGACTGGCCCAAAACCAGCAACACAAGCGGACAGACTTAGAATGCTTCTGCAGACTTTGATCTCGTTATACCAAACGCTCCAAAAAAATTAAAAAAAATTAAAAATCTCATTCGAGCAATTTGTCGTATAAACATCAGTGAGCACCTAAACAGCTTCTTGATTCAAATAATGTCGCATGTAGAGCAAACGATCACCTAAGTTTCGACGACATGGATCGGTTCGCTCTGTTCAGCGAGAAGCGGCTGTGAAGAATATTACTCCCCAATATGGAGATGTCAAGCAAAGGACTTTAATCTCATTCAAGGACGAGACGTCCAGCGCCGGGGAAGGAATAGGAGTACCGCTAGGATTGCCTCGACTAAGTCTTGACATGAAGCCAGTGAAAGTTTCACTGTCAGTCAGCGAAATTTCTCGCATTGCACACGTGATCGTGTTTTGATGCGGCGAATTAATAATTATGCTCAAATTTGATGGAAATACCTCACTTCTTGCCTTCAACCACGGTTACTGACCGGGACAACCAGCTTTCAATGCTTCACTCAACACTTTCTCGACTAACAGCCTCAAGCCTCGACCTCCATGCGGGCACGATCCAGCTACTTAGCGCCGGTCCCGGCGGCCCGGGGTCCGTGCACTGGCAGTTGACTGGCAGTGTATGCCAGTGCCCGTCGATGAGATAGAATGTCAGAATCAACGTCTGATGATCATACCGTCCATGGAGTGTCCACAGCAGTGTGTGACTTCGCCGTCCTTCTCGGCGCTTAGGCGGTGATAGTCTATTTAGCGCTCGTCCACAGCATTCAGCAAGACCCGTCCCTTCTCACCTATCCCTTCTCTCTCATGCCTCCATTGACCCGACAGCGTACTCTCGACAGCATACTTAGTTGGTGGTCAGACAGCAACCCAACGGGTCCGAACATCAACCTACATGCAGCCACGAAGCCCTTGATGAGGCTCATGTATGAGCGCGATGCAGTAGCATTTATGAGGGCTCAACAGGGTACCAAACTGTCTAAAGAGGCCATGGAGATTTGTGGAAGCTATCTCGCGTATGGGTCCTTTCCATTCCTATCAACACCCGCTGACCGAGCGCGTAGATGGAAATATGTCGCTCATTCGACCAAGATCGCGATTCTTAAGGACATTTACGACAGAACAGAATTGGAGTCCGAGGCATGCACGGTGGTCGATTCACTTACGTTTGACTTGGTGGACGAATTGCTTGGATCTCCAGATGCAGAGATCCGCAGTTCGACGTGCCAAATCTTGGCACGACTGGCCTCCCACAGGTCCACATTGACGACCCTCTTGATTGTGAATCCTTGTTCCCGTCTCGTGTTTCTCCTCCGGTCAGTCTCGATTTTTTTTTTCTGTCTTGAATCCACTGCTGATCATCTGGAACCAGGGATAAAAATACAAAGGTGGTAAACAAGGCGGCAGAGGCACTTTATTGGATCACTGCATTCCCAGAAGGCGCACAGGCTGCCCTGGACGCCAATGTCACAGCAATGACAGAACTGGTTGCCTCACCAAACCTCAGGGTGCGGAAATGGACCTGTACAATGTTGGAACGACTAGTGCACCAGAAGACCACAGCACTCCCGTTCGCAAGACAACTAGTAGCCCTATTGCGGTGAGCCAAAACCCTCCTTCCTTGAATAGATTACTTACTCTAAATCAGTTACGGGGATTCCAAGGGAGATTCTGAAATTATTAAGAATACGACACGAGCACTCTATTGGGTCACTCGATCGTCGCCCGAAGCCGCCCAGGCCGTCGTGGACGCTAATGTGTTGGACTGTATTAACGACCTGCTTGAAAATGAATCACACAAATCTAGACCTTGGGCTCCCGAATGGATCTGCGAGATCCTGAGAGAGGTAGGGTGCCACGACATAACCCTGACCGTCAATCTATATCAATGTGAACGCCTGGTGTCGCTGGTGCGGTGAGTCTCGTTGTTCTTTTTGATGGTTGAAATTCTTGATTACTCTTGAATCAGTGACAAGAATCCCGGGGTCGTAGAGCGTGCGACATGTGCCCTGTGGTGCATCTCTAGATCGCCCGAGGGCTCACAGGCCATTGTAAACGCAAATTTTCTGGCATGTGTCGATGGACTGCTCGAATCCCGGGACTCCGAGGTATTGCAGTGGACGTGTGAGACGCTGGGATGCATGGCACAGCAAAGGTCAACAATGACTGTCGTCTTAGCGGTGAAGCCTTGCCGAAAGATCGTATACCTCTTAAAGCGAGTTACCATCTTTTACCTCAGAACACCATTTTGATTCTGCATTAGTGCCATCCATCTCGAGGTCTCCCAGAGTGCGGCAAAAGCACTATGCAATATCGCACAATGGGCGGATGGCGCGCAGGCCACCATCGAAGCGAAACTGCTGGACTGCATCCCCGAACTTCTTGAATCACCGAACCATGAAGTTCGCATGAGAGGTGGCAAGATACTGGGTCTGTTGATCCGCCATCTCCTGTTCGGGTGAGACTCGGAGCATTTATTGGATTACGAACTCGATGTTAATCATGGCAGTGATGAAACCCTTGAGGCCCTCAAGAAAGCTCTTTATTGGATTGCCACATTTCCTGAAGCCGTGCAGGGAGCTGTCGATGCGAATATACCCAACTCCGCAGCTGAACTACTTACATCCCCGAAGGCCGTGGTACGCGAGTGGACGTGTAAACTCCTGGGAGAACTGGGACGCTACAAATCCACGGCGGTGGCCGTCTGGACTGTCAGCCTTTGTCTCCAGCTCGTATCCCTCTTGCGGTAAAACTCGATTGATTATCCTTCGACTGGGCATTGATTTTGACCTAGGGAAGGAAATCTCGGGGTTACCGAGGCTGCGATATATGCACTTAGTCAGATCGCCCAATGGCCCGAGGGAGCACAGGCTGCCGTGGCAGCAAAGGTGTTGGACTGCGTGGTGGAGCTACTTCAATCGCCGGAAGCAAGGGTACGAGAATGTACATGTAAGATGATGGGATTGCTGGCTCGCCACGAGACAGCTGCCGCCTTGGCTGTAAAGCCCTGCGAACAGCTCAAAGCCCTCCTACGGTGAGCTCAATCCTAATTCTTGAAGAAAATGTTCTGATTATTGGGCAGCCACGAAAATATAGGTACCTGTGAGAGTGCGGTAGCGGCTCTGTATTCGATCATCGGAACGACCGAAGGCGCGCAGGCTGCTGTGGACGCGTATGTCTTGGACTGCATGCCCGAACTCCTTGAATCATCAGACACTGACATCCAAAGATGGACGTGGGGGATCCTGGGCCAGCTGGGGCTCCTCAATCCCGTGGCCGTGTTAGCAGCTGCAAATCCCTGTGCTCGGCTCGTGGCCCTATTACGGTGAGTATCGCTCATTTTATTTCAAGAGAGATTAATCTAAATGGTTATAGAATCAGTGATAGAAGCGATAACTTGTCTTCGGTGGTCCTCGCCGCGGGAGATGCCCTCTCCAGGATCGCGCGATCGCCTGAAGGCGCCCAGGCGACCGTGAATGCAAAAGTACTCGAATACCTGGAGGGCCTTCTTCAATCATGGAACTCTCGGATCCGCCAATTCGCGTGCCACCTCCTGGGAAGCTTAGCTGTTCACGGAACTACTGCTGTGGTTGTCCTCACGAGCATATCTTGCTGTAACCAACTAGTTTCCCTCTTGCAGTGGGTCTCCATCATTTATTTCTGTCACATTCTTCATCGTTCAATTAGCGATATAAATCTGGACGTTGTCCAGAGTGCAGCAGATGCACTTGGGAACATTATCCATTCGGCCGATAGCTTACCAGCCATAGTGGATCAAGACAGGCTAGCCTCCTCCGCTAAATCATTTGGATCTGCCACCACCAGGGTCAATGCACACAGATGGGCCCGTAGGA